AAACGTAGATCCAACTTCCAACACGCATATTTGTATCCTAATATATAAAACTCGACTTGCCTAAAATCAAAACAGAGCCTAATACATTAGGACAAAAGAGTCAAATGGGTTTTTAGGTTGTAATCACTTTGAGGGAGTATATCAATACCCTCTGATTATTGTTCCAAAATGTATCGAATTGTTAGCTACGCAAGTATGTATCATGTTAAAAACAATGGGTGATTTTCTGTTACGAGAGCAATATCTTTGAGATAGAGAAATTTTTATACATGATCAAGAAATGTAAAGGTAAAAAAGGTCTCAAGTAATAGAGGATTGATTCTACATAACATTCGAGCCTGTCTGTATAAACTAAACAATGGTATACGATAATATAGTTTATATGTATGGGCTATTTAAAAATTCTTAAACATCTTTATTAAGAACCGGTTATTAACACAAATTCTATTTTTTTTTTTTTTAATCATAAGAACCCTATTATTTTTTGTTAAATCGAAGAAGAAGAGTGTGGGTGGAGGTTAGTTTGAATCCTTGTACATTGCAGATGGAGATGATGATTTGGTGAAGAAACAAGTCTGAGACTTAAAAGACAGACTTTGTTTGAAATAGAAGCTTCCAACATCTCTAAAGTAAAGTCAAAGACCCACTAGAGGGTCGACCAGATAAGGTTCTTCCACTCCAAAATGCACTATATGGGCTATCTGATAATTGCCAGGCCCAGCCCAATAAAATACTATCTAGCCTGTATATATACGATAAGACGCATAGCGTAACCCTAAATTGGAATCGCGAAAAGTATCTCATCCGCAGGACTCCGTCGTCGAAACCATGAATTCTCTTCTTGAGCCGGAGCCGGTGCCGGTGCCGGACGAACCCGTGCCCCTCGTAAAATACGAAAGTAAGATCTCTCTATATCTTTGTCTCTTGCTCGGAATTGGTCGAAGATTAGATTTCATCGGGATCGATTTACTAAAATTTGATGGTTGTTTATGTCTCGTAATTGTTTATAATTCCGTCGCAGAGGGTAATACAGGTGTCTTTTGGAACGTGGAGGATTATCCAATCGATGATCGTCTAGATTCTGAATCTCTTTATCAAAAGATGAAAGAAGATCTTCGCAAGGAGGGTTATCTTGGGGATTTGTCAATCCATTTGTTCTTTTGTAAGGATAGAATTCCGGCAAGATATCTTGGGGATGAGCAAATCAAAATCCACGTCATACCCGACAGTAAATTCCTTTCCTTCAACACTCATATATATATTTTTTCCCTTATTATACGGATTTGATTATTATATATACTTGTCCAGAGGTTAAAAAAAGTGCTAGACAGTATGCCATGGCAGTGCACGTTCTTCTTTGGGCAGCGCGACATCGTCCCCGATCATCAAATATATTACTACTCTCCAAAAACCTAGAAGAAATCTCTGTTTGCGACTTTGAAAGTTTGTATAATCAAGATTATGGTGTTGTCATATCTGATCCTGACCCACGTTGGTATCTTCCCCTTGAAAGCTCAACCCTGCTTTTTCCAAGCCTGTTAACTCTAGAAAATCTTAAGCGGAAGCCTGAGGAAGAGGAAAACTTGCAGTCGAAAAGGCGCAGCATTACTCTTGCTGGCTAACTTGTGTGCGCAGCAATGTTCACAAGTACAAGTTCTTTTCGATTTGCTTGGTGAGAATTCGCTAGCTTCTCCTTTCATGATAGTTTAGTTTCGTTGTATCTATCAGTTTCATATTTTATTCCTCTCTTTGATCCTAAAGTTTCATTATATCATCTTTTTGTTTTGGGTTTGCTCGTTTCTAGGTTTCACATATTAGCACGGAGGTATGATTTCTTTCGTAGAGCATATGACAAAAACCATGTTAAAAAAGAATCGGTTTGTCTTTGGTAAACTCTAAATCTTCCTCCTTTGTTTTATGAACAAGTGAACCATCGTTTAACTTTGTTATTAACTGTCTCCGTTTATTTTGGTTTACGTAACTGTAGCATTTTGAAGGAGCGTTACAATTAATTATTGGAATAGTGAACTCATGCCAATTGTTGAAAGGAATTTCGAAATCTCTCTTAAAAAAAGTCATCCTCTCTTTGACATATTCTAAAAATAATCATTATTGAAATTTCTGTCGAGATCAATAGCCAAAGGGATATATATTTTACAATCTGATAAATTGATTCTTTTGAATTAGCGATAAAATTAACCGAAAACAATTCTACCCCGGTTCGGTTGTTGAAAGTTTTCGTTTCGCTGAATTACAAAATCAGTTTCAATAGAACTCATAAGTTCTACTTTCCTCTACCGCATTGTGATCGCATGTTACATACGAAGAAACGTCGTTTACCAGTGTGTTGCAGAGAAAAAAACTATGTGCGGTAAATATGTAATTCAGTAGATATCATTTGTGTTAATAAGAAAGAAAAACAAGTATTTATGATGATAGTATAAATTAAGGAAAATTAGTGACATAATTTTGATTATCCATTTCTTTTGTCATTCTCTAATCCCTCCTGGTTCTTAACTCAATTTTTAATATTAAATTTAATATTAAAAAAAAAGTCTTCGAGACTCAATTAGTTTTATCTAAAACTTGGTGAACACCCGTGAGA